ATTTTTTGGGGCCACCGCCCACTTGGTTCCATAAACGCATCTCCAGTGTCCCCTACCCTACTCTATAAAAAAACTCTTCATAATAACCGTTTGCACTACCCATTAAGGAAGATAATAACAATGAAATAAGATACCGCATAAGTAACTACTTCACTTTTAGTAAATTCTTAATGCGATGGGATGGACTTGATGAAGTGATACCAGTTTCTTAGTGTCTGGTGTGAGGTCACTTTAGTCGTAAATACGAGAACGGCGCCCTCTGGGTTGCTCAGTTCCAGCGTTCCGTGTCGCTCCCTTGACTTTTAGCGCACCCCAAGGTAATCCTACCGCCCTCAGAGGCGGTACAGCCCACTTTGGGAACCACAGATCTAAATGATCAGAGTTCAATTCCCGGTAGGAGCAGCGGCCGGAACTTGAAGCTGACCACTTTCCTCCTAAGATCAAGGTTTCACAAAGCGCAAGGCTTCGTATCCACGTTAACAGTACGCTTTCGGGGTGTGGTAATGAAACGGGCAACTTAACTATACTGCACAGCTATTGATGGATAAAGTAGGTAGTTGGGTTGAAAGACTGTGGTTCAACTTTAATTAAGGGTTAGGGGCATTTTTCCCCCACCACTTCCAAATTGACACTGGAGCCGCACAACCCCCCTGCATAACAGCTCGTTTCTTGCTTGGGTAATAAGGGGCCGATATGTGAAACGACACACGGTCTCGTACCAAGGCCTGGAATGTTCATATGTTTGAGTCTCTCTCCACTGCTGAGCTTCTTCATTGCATAGTAGTTAGATGAGGGAGCAGCTTCACTGTACATTATCAACTGTCATGGTGAGTAGTGGACGGACACATCCGTTAAAATGCTAGAGTCTGCGGCAATGAAAGAAATTCCTGTTTCCGCTGTTCGTCATTCCCTCGCTTGACAGTATGCGCTCGTCACAAACAATGCCCTGTACTGTATTCATGGTATGAAGATAAGCAGCATGGCACCAGCTTGCCCCCTTGACCTCAGAGTAATTGACTTCATTACTGCAGATGTGTGCAGCAGGCGGTTCCACCGGATGTGCCAGCTTGGAAACCGTTCAAGTGGCATGTCAGTTTTTCTTTTTACATTTAGTTTCACAATCTTGATTTTGAGATCCCGTGTTCTGTTCCGCAAGTGGAAGTTGGATTAAATTGTGTGTACATGATATGCGCAAGAGACAATATCTGTTTACTTCTATTGCGAAGAAAGAATTTCACCGCTATTCTCACATGATTACTTGGACTGTTCTCTTTACACTTTTCGTCAAAAATGAGACAATGCACCTCTCAGATTTTCCGTATTGTATGATCACTCCATATTTCGTAGGTTTACCCAACGTGTAGGTGTGAGATTTCAGTACGTTTTTGAAGTCACATCTAAACGGAAGTAAATTTCCTAACTTCAGACCCAGTTTCCGCAAATTGGTGTCGGTAGCCATAGAAAATTTCAGTACGCGTGTTGGTAGCCATAGAACATTTCAGTACGCAGGTGACGGTCTCTTTCCTATTTGTTTCTGTACGGAGGACAGTTGCCACTATCCATGGGTTTTTAAAGGAGGAAAATGTTGAAATGAAATAAATGAGAGAGTAATAATAACTAGCTTGCTCGTCGAAAAAGTAATAATGAAAATATCTAAGAAACTAGATACTACCCAGCATTATTCACCCCACCCCTCTCCCTCTCCCCTCTCACTCTTGAGACGTATACGGCAACCTGGCAGTCGTTTGTGGTCAATAGCAGTTCCTTTTACTGTTGGCTCCTTCTGTTAAGCCAGATACTAGGAAACTGGCACGGGAATCTGAACAGAGACTTGCTGTGCCCATGTAATGTGATATGAATGGCTGATAAAAGAGAAGTTACAGCTTATCATTCTTTTATTTTTGTCATTATTGTTGCTTTGGTTGCTGGTATACATGCTGGTTTCCTTTATTAGCCCTTTAGAAATTCGGATGTGGCTGGTAGGTCCCCGATCTGATGTCATTTAATGGTTTACCATGTAAGCATTCGTAAACCTAAAGTAATTTGCAGACTGAAGAGTACGGTATACTGGGATGTGACGTCAACAGAAGTTCACGCGAAGTTTCAGAGGAACATGCTGTCTCCATGTTTATGGTTGCGTAGTAAGTCGACCAAGCTTGTTCATAGTATCCGCCTTTAGAACCTTAAATCTTGCATCTTCAATCTTACCCAATGTTTTTGGTTATTTTATTTGTTGATGACTTAAAATATAAATCATCGACAAAATTTTAACTTTTGACAGAAGGTATGTTTTGCTGCGGATTCGCCGTCGTCATAAAACATTAACCCTAAGGTTAATACACCCCTGTACTAGAGTTGACCTATTTTACAGTTCCTACCTGAGCTCTGAGGGGTGCACGCGGTAGCTTAGTTGGTTGAGGCACTATGTTACAAGCTGGAAAGTCGCGGGTTCAAATCCCGATGAGGTAATTGGATTTTTTTTAATTGACCTAATCTTTTCGGCCACATTATGGCCCAGGGGTCGACTCAGTCTCTAACAGAAATGAGTACCAGGAATTAATTAAATAATTTTCCTGGGGAGTAAAGCGCGGCAGGCGCGTAAGGCTGACAACCTTACCGCCATCTTTGAGCCGATTGTCTAGATAATATGGGAACCTCAACATCTCACAACCCTATGGGCCTTCACGGCCTGTTACAGGGATAGCTTTACTTTTTTACCTGAGCTCTGATATCAAAGTCCTGTAGGTGTGAAGGTGATTTGTGTAAACCAATGACCACTAACCGCTTGCCTGCAGGCGCCCTGCTTGCCTCGAAGGGTTTTTGGTTTACCCACGAGAATTTTATTGGTAACAGTTTCTTAATGTTAGCTGATGATGGCGAAGCACGTGGTGATAAACCGAATATCTCACCACTGGTACAGTTATAATTACTTAGATTGCATTCAGGGTCAGCAATAACTGCGGGATTCGGGATTAGTAATGACAGGTGACTTTTTATGAGGACACGAGACATCGCTGTTAAGTGATAAGCATACTTGTTTCGTATTATGAATAGCCCGGGTATAGAATGTTCAGAGTATTTGTTGCTTTTTTTTTTCCCCCGGACAGATACTAGGATTGTACTTTACCTCAGATGAGGCCAGGACCGTTTCTTTCCATATAATTTTTCACAAGTCAGTCTCGCTTTCGACACCGTTGGAAGCGTCGTTAAATAGGGATAAACGAAAAAAAAAAACTCAATGGCCTGTAGTCCGTAAGCGAACTATACCGACGGAGCGACCACCGCTTGTCCGCGAAGTTAGTGCTCACTTTTGCGGAGAGAGGGTGTCACGAGGTCAGCGCAACATATCCCGACGGCCGTTAATTTCGGTTGTCTAGACCTGAGCCGCAATTTCCTTGAAATAGCTCCTCAGTTATCCTCATGAGGCTGAGTGGACTCCGTTCCAGACCCACTGCTTCTCAGGAAATCTAGTAGGGCCGGGAATCGAACCCGGGACCCCAGGATCTGTAGCCAGGAACTCTGACCACTAGACCACAATTAAAATCTTATTGTTTCTTAGGTATGTTTTGTAATATAGACAGTGCTGTAACAGCACTTTGAAAATATCAGTTGTAGATTAGTAAAACCATTCAATTCGTATCNCTGAAGATGGGGGCGATACGTTCCTCCGAAATGTCGGTTAACACAACATATACACGGTGCCAAATCCCAGAAGACTGCTTTCTTCGTATCTTTCTGTTCGTTGATTCATGAGATCCCTCCAGTAAATAAAAGTGTCTTCTAGTTTTCCGTCACCTCAGAACGGTTAATAATGATTCGTGGTGTAGACGATGCATGATATGCTGTTACTCAGATTCTGTGTTTCGACACCGTGTTTTGAGAGCCGGTTTGTCGACGTTTCGAAAATCCTGGCGTAGTCCACGAGGCTAAGGGATGGCGCGCAGCACGATGTCGACACCAAAGAATGTAAACGAATACATTTTATCGAAGGGCACGAAATGGTGCATCCCTGGAAACAAAAGCAAAGAACTGATCCAGCTATCCAGCCACGTATTCCGTATGTATACGCGAGCTAAGTGAACATAATTATTTCATCTTCAAGAATTCGCGCTTACGCAGCAACTAAGAGGAGCGTTTATTCATCACACCCACTTAAAGCAGAACAGCCTGTACAAACGCAAACGTAATTCATCGTTGGTAGAGAGGAAATACAACATGAAATTATTCAGTAGAGGAGGAGTGTAGAGCAAGCTGTTGCACAGGACAGAGGTCGACTGTTTATGTTGCCCGTTTTGTTTTGTTTCTATATTGCAGCTATTGACTGTTGTACCTTAATTTAAGGCAAAATCTTATTTCGCATTGTCTGTGACGTTACAATGGATGGAAACAGAAGAAAAGAATGTAAGAAGGGAAGAAGGAACCAGGGGGAAGAGCCGAAATAATTGTGATGCGTTAATCGTGTTGATATTAAAGTCAGCTGTTTTACCATTATTACAAGATTTAGGATCTATCTCCTAGTAACTGTTGCAGTGAATGTTCTAGGTAGCAACAGGAGATCCAGTATATGTTTTGGAATTCTAGTAAGTTGATAATACGTATACTGAATGATGTGTGGGGTATCTTTGAAGATACCGGATATTAGAGTTGAGCAATAATCTTAACATCGCGATCTGTGGCAGCAACTGACGTGGTTTAACTGACACCAGATGTTTAGACTGTGATTCATAGAGGAAAGGCCGCGTTTCCTGTGGTTGTATCTCATTTCTTTCCGTGAACAAGAGTGATACGATTCATCATCGCTCGTCTTACAAGTCGCCTCAGTCATTTACGCTGTTATTAGAGCGACCGTTTCGGTGGAGTGTAGGATGCAATCTGTGCTCCATATTAGTTTGTTTTATGTTGTCCTTGAAAGGTAACCATTGTTGTCGTGTCTGTGTCGTTTCAGCGGTCACTTCAAAGACAAAATGGACGAAATAGCATGTGCGTTTGGTATATAATTTTTATATTAAAATATACTGTCGTTTCTGTATACGGAAATGGGCGGATAGTGGACAGGAACACTTCGACAGGATGCTTGTGGCATGCTGTGTGTTTGTTGAGAGATAAGAACTAGCACTATAACAGAATGCAAAGCGCTCAGCCCAGGTTGACGATAAGTAACGTCGCGTTCAGGGAACACCTGCGAGAGCATCACTGCATGTGGTTACCTGTTTATCTGCCCGCCCATAACGAACCTGTCCCTATAGACGTTGCTGTGTGGTTGTTTGAATTGCGACATTACAGCGATTCTAATGAGGTGCCGTGTAATTCGAGTGTGAATTTAGACTATGACAGTGTAGCTGACAGCAGTTGTGAGTTACATACAGAGGAATCTCAGAAACTCAACCTTAAAAAAAGTGACGAAATAAAACAGAACTGTCATTCTGAGGTGAAGGAGCATCCTAGTAATGCAGAAAACTCTACTCCAAAGGAAGACATTCCAGGGTTGCTGATTTATGAGGAAGCTTATGTTAAGATTCACAGCAAGGAGGAAGCCCAAATTCGCCATTGTGACATACAGGAATATTCTGAAAATTCTTCCCTAGGTGAAGATATTCCAGGCTTGGTGATTCAGAAGAAAGAAGTTTCTGTTGAGAGTCCTGGCAAGACTGAAGAAAGCTTGATTTGCCATTGGTGCCCTGAAAATTCTGCCACAAGAGAAGATATTCCAGGGTTGCTGATTCAGAAGGAAGAAGTTTGTGCTGAGAATCTCAGGAAAGGCGAAGATATCCTGAACTGCCATTGTGAATGTTCTGAAAATTCAACTTCCAGAGAAGACATTACAGGGTTACAGCAGACACAAGGGGATAGTATTCAGAGTCACAAATGTGATCGTGCCGGTGCTGGCAGTGATGGTGATGATGTATCATTCAAGATTTGCAGTGGTATTGTACTGGGAAATGGAATAGTGCACACTGATGAAGATAACCAGGAAGTATATCAGCATGAAGTAGGTGAATCGCCCAGCTGTAATCATGCGCTGAAATATAACAGCATCCTGTGGGAGGCAAATCCCCTCTATTGTGGAGTAGGCCTAGAAGGGAATGGGAGAGTGATCAGGAAGTTGTGTCATAACGCTTTGGAACACCCAGGCAGCAGTATACATGTAGATTCTGTAGAGGAATCTGGATGGGGTTCCTGCGAAACAAGTGAACCTGTTGTTACAAGTTTCATTGAGTGTGGAGTAGACTGTATATTGAAAACTTGTTGTTCAGTATGTGGGTGTGGAACATTCAGTAGCGAGTTCCCCTTGAATGTATGCAGCAATTGTTGTTCATTGGGAGAAGAAACATGTCAGTGTAGGACAGATCGCAATGCAGACACACATCTGATAGACAGCTGCGTTGGTGAAACAGCTTTCAGTGTTACAGACATAAAGAAAGTAAATGCTGAGATTTATGGATGGGATGTAACACAGAATGTGTCTGGTATTCATGATGACCTTCTTACAGGCATCAGTAACACTGGCAGTGACTGTGATAAAGCAGTCAACTGCCATCCCACGTCAGAGTATTTTGGTGATGGTGATGAAGAGTTAGCGCCTTGTGGTGAAAAGTATGAGGAAGTGCTCCATCATTTGGAACTGACCATCCAGAACCTGCTGGTTGCCACAGGTGACATATCAGGTGATCATGAAATGGAACCTGATGCTGACTTCTTGAAGCTATGTCAAGAAGCACAGGATTTGGCGGAAGAGACTTCTCAGCAGTGTTCAGCCCAGATAAATTCCAAAAGAAATAAGGCCCGAAGCATTACTTTGAGTTCTGATCTGTCGGATGAAGTGTTCATTAATTCTCCATCTTCTGATAATGTGACGCATGCATTACTACAAGAAGTGCACAGGCGTTATACTTCAGACATTAATTCTATATTTGATGATGGCACAAAACCACCTGTGCCCCCAGCCCGGATGAAGAGGAACAAGGAAAGATCAAAAACATTACATGTTACTGAACAAAAAGTTGTAGATGAAACTAAAGTTTCTGATACTGCATCTGACAACTGTCTGGAGAGTCCAAATCATTCAAATGATACAGAATTGTCAGTGGAGAAAGGTAATAATGAAAATAGTTTGCTGGATTGTCAGGAGCTATTAATAATGAAACGCGTTACAGAAAGTACCAAAGAGAAGAGGAATGTCAGGGTGGCTTCTCATTATGAAGACAGAAATTTGTACAGTCATGCGTGCCATGCACATCAGTGTGTTCCGGATTGTGACTCTACAGATGTAGCTGTTGTGTCTGGCGGTTCTCATCCACCATTGGATGGCAAAAATTCTGAGTCCTTTGTACCAGATGACGTAGTAATTAGAAAACCTGACGAGTGTGGTGAATATCTGAACATTGTTTTGACGCGAACTCGACCCATTTCCTCAACAGAATTTCCACCCTCAGAGCAACAAATTGACAGTGTTTCATCTGCCTGTGAGGACAGACTGCCAAGTGAGTCAGTTTCAGCGGAAACCATGTGTGATAAAAGTGGTATTTTGTTGCAAACCCGCAAAGGCAGCACGTCTAGTGATATTGCTGCATGGAAACAGGAACTCCAGAATTCTGGCCTCTTTTATTTGGATGATGAGTGGGATGCAGATTGTATGTTGCAGCCAGACAAGGTAGGCTACATACTCACTTTTGTTGACTGAGCTAGGTGTAACCCTTTTCCTGCTATTGAAATGATTGTTCTATTTAGATTCTGCAAGTCCTACAGATATCTGACTTGGCAAATGCTTAGAAGCTGGCTTATGTTGCATGATTTATACTCTCTTTACTGCGTCAATTGCATTAAAGTAAATGTTCTCTATAGTAGCGTACCAGAAGTAAAGGTGACATCCTTAGGCTGCACCATAGCTCAAGCGGTTAGTCGCTGGCTTCCCAGCACGGCGGCCTGGGTTCGATCCCGGGTCTGGTCTAGTGAGATTTGTGGTGGACAAAGTGGTGCTGGGGCAGGTTTTCTCTGAGTACTTTGGTTTCCCTTGCGAATCTTCATTCCACCAAATTCTCCATCATCATAATCACCCGGGGCAGGTAAAATAGGCCCATCAGTGGCCGCCGTGCTGAGTGGACCCAGCTGGACTCCACCCCCCACTAAGTGAATTAAAAAAAAAGTGACATCCAGAAAATCGCAGATGATCACAGTGTGCAGGCCCATATGGCCTACTCCGTTAATTCATTCATTCATTCATTCATTCAAAGGTAAAGGTGCCTGAGTACCATGTCATAAAGGTGGAAAGGAGGAAGGGCAGTTCACACTTTCTTAACTTCAGTACTAGATGGAGGCAAGCATGAATAATGTGGGGGGGGGGACAAGCAAGGCTTCTCTCTATTTTAAGTGTTTAAAAAAATTAACATTTGAAAAAGAAAGAAACATACCAAATGTTAAAACCAGGAACTCAAATAATTTAAGAAAGTATTCTCTCCTGAATAAAAAAGCATCTTAACAACTTATCACCAAAATTAGCCTTAATTTTCTTGACTGACTTGTAAGTATCTGGATGATGTAATCATGTCTGGAAGCCAATTTTCTTGGTGCTTCCTTGGAATAAGTCCTGGCAGTGCCAGTGGATGTGAGTTGTCATCTTCATGCTCTCACTCACTCACTCACTCATGTAGCTGAGCCCTTCTTGGGAAGCTGCCAAATGTGCAGCTACTCACGAAGTTTCCAGCATTTTATGGAACCTGAAGGTTTATTACCGTGTTCACAAAAGCCCTCCACTGGTTCCTATCCTGATCCAGATCAGTCCAATCCATTCCCTCCCATCCTGTCTCTCTAAGATCCATTTTAATATTTTCTACCCACATATGTCTTGGTCTTCCTAGTGGTCTCCTTCTTTCTGGCCAATATCTTGTATGCATTCCTTTTATCCTCCATTCGTGCTACATGCCCAACCAACCTCATCCTCCTTGACCTGATCATTCTAATTATACTTGGAGAAGAGTACAAGTTATGAAGCTCCTCATTATGCAGTTTTCTCCAACCTCCTGTCACTTCATCTCTATTTGGTCCAAATATTCTCCTCAGCACCCTGTTTTTAAGCATGCTCAGTCTCTGTTCCTCTTTTAAAGTCAGAGATGAGGTTTCACACCCATACAGAACCACAGACAAAATTACAGTATTGTATACTCACCAGTTTAACACTTTGCATATGAGCCCCTGGTACTCACTGGATTCCAGAACTGGTAAGGAAGTGTTAGTGAAGAGAAGAACACTGTCCGTCACTGGAATTGAATCCCATCAATCTCATAGCCACCTGCTGACTGGGCTCTCCAGCTCAGCCCTAAGGTGTCTGGGTTGCTTTTAAGGGACATAATACCCAGGTCAGGACCAGATGTGATAATCCTTATGTATTCTGTTTTTTGGTAGGGTTTCAGCACACAACTGGATGTGCACATGTCTACATTCTGTTTTAGTTATAGATAGTGCATAGCCCAAATATAGTAGTTACTATAGGATTCTGACGATGGTGTATAACACACTGATATGTTGGGATTTTGGACTTTATCCATCGTCCTGGTTTTTAAGATAACAAATAAAAACACGACGTTTCGGAAACTGGATCTGTTTCCGTCCTCAGGTGAAGGACCAGGTCCAGTGATTGAGGCTAGCTCTTTCTAAGGGACCCAACTGAATAGGTGTTTTCCTTCACCTGAGGACGGAAACAGATCCAGTTTCCGAAACGTCGTGTTTTTATTTGTTATCTTAAAAACCAGGACGATGGATAAAGTCCAAAATCCCAACATATCAGTGCCCAAATATAGTATTTCACAGATCTGAGAAACAACCTTTGAGAATTCATTGCGAGTCTTATCATTTGGTATATAAGTTTTTCTACTATTTAATTGCAATTTTTCTCCCATATTCCTTTTCACTCATCCATGTTATTGACTGTTATGTCTAGGACGACTTTTAGCACCATTTCTAATGAGTAGCATGTACAAATTGTCAGTCATTTATAGTATGCTATCAGTACACGGAACAGACATGATGCACTGAAACAAAGGACTGCTTGCTCGTTCATGACCTTCTGCTTAATTTATATTCGTGCTTCACATTAATGGTTGAGTTTATTGCTATGATAACCTTAAATTGTGTAATGAATGTTGAGAAAACCTTTATATAGACACACACAAACAAACAAACACATGCACACAAAAGGATTTGGTTAAGTTGAACAAAATTTCAAGTGCTTAAAGTGCTGTATTTATCACACTTCCAGGGCATCAGTCTGCTGTCCTTTCAGTTTCAAGGCTCTGTCAACTTGATGATTATAACTTCTGTCCCCCCACGTTTTCCATACCCATACTGGCCCATGAGTGGTTCAAACATAGTCACTCTTCTTCTGTCTCCTGTTTGTTGACGTTGGTTCCTTAATAGAGGCAGGTTACGTCCAAGATTCCTTTTACTTCTATATATAATCCGACTTTATTGCAAGTCATGTACTTTACATGCTGCGTGCTTCATGCTGGCTATTTTGCTTGGCTTACTTTTCAACCCTGAGGTTGGAGGTGACAAGTTCCTCCAAAATGTTGTTGACTTTCAGCGAACTATGTGGCATTATATCTCAGAAGATAGAACTCCTCAGTGTATTTTATTGTTAATCTGTTGTTTAACTTTGGTCATGAAATTAGTGACTGATCAGATATTACACGTATTTTGGGATATTTCATTTAATGCTGTTTTATTCTTAATTGTGCCAAATTTCACTCTAATTAAAATAGCTTCATATTCTTCAGGCAGTGTTACGGAGAGCCCTTACTATTTTATTTCCTCTTTTTTATTCTGTCCGTTCAGAATGGTGTTAAAACATTTCTTTCTTATTTTCAGGTTATTATGAGTTATTTCTTTTTACTAGGGGCGTTAAAAATGATTGACACTTCACAGTAACCATTTATTGGAACAAAATACATACAGATTATATTAGAGGTAATCCCCACCAATGTCTGTGCACCTTTGCCATTGTTCTGGCAGTTTCCTTATTTGTGCAGCATACCATTCTTTGGGGGTATCCCGGCGACACTGCTGGAAAACTGCCTGAAGCTCATCATTGGAGGTGAACGTCTTACCCTGCATGACATCTTTCATTGCATCGAAGAGAGTGTAGTTGCTAGGGGCAAGATCAAGCGAATATGGCGGATGAGGCAGCACAGTGTACCCTAGAGTACCCAGGATGGTAAAGGTCTGCTGACTGCCATGTGGTCATGCATTGTCATGTTGGAGAAGAACTCCACACCCCCATTTTCCGTGGCAGAATTGCTGAATGTGTCGGCGGAGTTGGCACAGTGAATTGCAATACCAATCAGTGTCAATGATCATTTTGGGGGGCAGCCAATCCAACAGAAGGATCCCCTCCTGATCCCAATACACAGCCACCATTTGCTTCCGGACGAATAGTGCCTGTCGTGACTTCTTGGGAGAAGGGCTCCCAGCGCGCTTCCACTCCATGGACTGGCGTTTCTTTTCTGGAGTCTCATGCCAGAACCATTGACTTGTCAGCAGTGACTAGATGCTCAAAGAACTCTGCTGGATCCGTACTATGCAGCTGTAGCAACTGTTGGCATGTCTCCACACGCTTCTGCTTCTGCTTTTGCTTCTGTGCAATGGTGAGAGAACAGGCACCCATAGAGCACAGACCTTTTTCATCTTCAAGTCCTGATGGATGATGGTGTGCAATGTTCCGCATGTCAAACCTGTTGCATTCTCTAGTTCTCTAGTATCAAGTCAAACACATGCTGGGTACTGTCTTGTGTGCATAATGTTGCTGGACACCCACTGCTTTTGCCTTTTTTGGCACAGTCCTTGCCGTCTTTGAACTCTGCTATCCAGCGAAACACGGTTCTGTGACCTGGTGCTGCTTCCCCACATACGGCTGCTAACCTCGTGTGAATGTGTGAAGCAGCCACTCCTTCCCTCCAGAGAAACCACACAGTCCACTGTTGCCCGTGATTGTCTGTTTCCATGTCTGAGCGTTGTCCACGACTGCACCTGCACACCGCCATGAATGACACAATACTGTTCGACCTGTGCACGGTAGCAGCGTCATCTCGTGGCCATAGGCGCCACTATAGTATGTCTTCCCACATACATCGGCTCGCATTTGACACTGCTACTTTTCCGGAGTTATGGAGGGAGTGTCAATCATTTTTGAACAACCTAAATAATTTAGTGTTCAATATATTATTTTTTAAATTCGTATTTTGAATCCAAAAGAGAGAAATATGACAGTTATATACATTATATTTACTGAGTTCTTTTTTCTGGATTATCATTTGTTCCAGTGGTTTTCATCAAATGACTCAGAAGGACGGGTATACTTTTTTGAAGAAAACAGCAATGTGTCTTCCTGGACTTTACCAGACTTCGGTAATGCTGGATGTGATGTAAGTACACGTCAAGGATTTAGTATACCTTTAAGGATAGATATTTGTGATCTGTTCTTATGCGTTCCTTACATTAGTGCAACTGAACTAAGGTGCGTTAAAGAATGCTAATGGGAAGTTGTGTCTTTCTGTGTACATATTTCATTTTCAGAACTATTTAAAAGGTATTAAAAAAGAAGGTATTGAGGGTTTATGCCAAAAGCTTTCAGGAGTGTTAAATTTACAGAGGATTCTTTGTCTAAAACTACATCTTAGATTTATATGCAAGTAAAGCACGATTTAGGATATGTTGGTGTTAACTAGAATGTATTTATTCTGTTTAAGAATCCTACACATCCTCTTCATCCAAACCTAAGTGAATCGGGAGAAGAGGCAAAGAAAGAAGCAAAAGATGACCAGTATGTGGGTACAGATGTTCAATTACGTTCAGGTCAGCAAGAGTGTCAGCCTGAAAGCAGGGTTCAGCATCGCATGGTCAAAGCTCATTCCATGGTGTTGGCAGATGCTAGGTGAGTTCATGAAAGGGTTTGCATGACTGGCCCAGAAGTCAAGTAACCTAAGGTATTTTCTCATATTAATAGGAATGTTTAGATTAAAATGTGCCGGTCAGTATGTTGTCAGTATGTACCTTTGTGAGTTGAACATTGAACATGGAGGATCTCATTTCAAAATTTTTTTTTTTTAATTTAATAAGTAATTTGTTTTGCGTTCAGTGGAGCTTAGAAAAGCAAACAAAAGAACCTCAGTTTTTTTTTTCAAAAGTAAATGGCATTTGTAATTTTTTGTCAAAACTATGACATAACGTACTGTTATGACTTACTGTGTGTCTCTAATCTTTATGAAATGTAGTAAACCACAGTTTGCTAGGATAAACAGTTCTCGAGGAATAAGAGTAACCTCTATTTTTTGGGATTTTCAGAATATTAAGGGGAGACTTAAACTGAACAATTTTGTATTCTCAAGTGTCTAGCACCTACATAAGTATGTCCTTTACTATCATACCAACTGTGGTCAAAATTTGTGCAGTGGTGTGGAAATGTATACAGAACAAACAGGCATTCTTCTTTACTTATTAGAAACTGTGAATTTTTAAAAATTCACAACAAGGCTAGGATTTACACTTCGTTGTATAGATGTAGATTGTTATCTTCTTGAGTTAGTTGTGTGCCAAGTAACAAACATCAAAATATGACCAGTGGTTGAGAAGTGAATTAATGTCATTAAACACAGTAACTGAACAAATATCACAGCATACAACAAGCCATAAGATAGCCAGCCACATGCAACGTGGTGGTTTTTTAGCTAGTTAGTGCACAACATGACAATCTCTTGAACTGTTGTTCAATGACATTTACCATGATATTAACCAGCAGTCACATGCTTGCTACTCTCCAAGCCATCTTTGTCAGATGTTACATATTTTCTTACATCAAAGAAATCACAAGTGTAATATTTGATAGAAAGTTATGAGTGGCAGGATGTTTTTATTAATATTTTTTGTAATCTTTGCATAAAGATACACTGTAACCTTCCATCTTTAAACCATTATAATTAGTCTTGTATTTTTATGGTATTTTTAAACTGTCTAAAGGAAATTTAGCATATAAGAGTGAGTATGGTCCACACATATTAGCAATCAGTTAATCGTAATAACCTGACAGTGATATTGTTCTTGACAGTAGAAAGAAGCAGACGTCTAGCAAGTCATCATCAGTCCCAAGGAACTGGCCACAATTATGGGATGGAAACATGGTGAGTGAGTGTCTTGTACAAAGCCAATCATTTTTTTTGCAGTAGGTTAAAAAAAAGAGAACTTCATACAGGTTGCAAAGGCAGGAATGTTTCCCTTTAAGATTTCTCCTGCTTTAATGTTATTTTCATGTTGTAGTGACCGTGTGCTGGGTTTGGATTAGAAGTTGGGTTTACTGGACATCACTCTTGACTGTTGCCTCTGTTGTCACAGTCATATTGTGAGGTTTGCAGTTCTGATAACAGAGACATCTTGTTGACATGTGGCTCTGTATACACCACTTTGTTGCAGACCAGTTGGAAAACACCGCAGCAAAGGGTTCCACTGGTCTGATATCTTGATTGCCAAGGTCTCTAGACCCATCTTTGTTTGATTTCTTATTATGGGGTCTTATGACAGATGGTCAGCAGGACCAATGTACAGATGAGAATTGGATGCCTTATGTCGAATTGTGTATGTTGAAGCTTATATATGTAAACACCCCAGATTGATGTAATGGGCAATGAACTCTTGTTTGAATCGAGTAAGACTGTGCATTGAAAAGTGTGTCTGACGTTTTTTAATAGTTACATAGCTTACAAAATGTACCAATAAATTCACCTGATTAATACTGTCTTGTATATGCATAACTATAGACAGGGTTCGGATCTGTGTCTCAATTTATGGACCTCATAATATCTCAACACATACCACATATAAAACACAGTTTTTCTGTTGTCGTGTTTGTGTTTGTTGCCATGGGAACATGTTTACTGAGCCATTGCCCAGAATCGACCATGGCGCTAACCACAGAAAACATCGCTCTGTTGTTGCATGGGTGTATGTTGTGGGCGTAACCTAGCAATGGTTGCAGTTTACAGAGTCACTGCTTAGTGACGGGTCTGTACGCCACATTACCCTCATTCATTTTCTCGTGTGTGCACCTGAAACATTTGTAGCTCCTCAGTAATTAGAAACAACCAATGTTGCATTAAATTCTATAACCTGACACTACCTCCTGAATCACCACGCAAAATGTGGCAGATCAATTGTGAAGCACCCCATTTGTAAAGCGCTGCTGCTGATGCTTATGCCTACTTCAATAAATCAAATCATGTTGGTGTAAACTACTTTTGGTGCAAGAGAAATGCCACTACCTGATTAAAGAAACCGTATCACCATATAATTGTTATGCTCCTACTGAGAAATTGCAGTTCCAAATTGAAGATGACTGATTCATGGGCATATAATAATAATGTTTGGTACTTGACCAATGCTTCTGTGAGGATTTAGATTTGTAAGTTTATTGCTTGAAATTTGATTTGCTGTATTTAAGGCGATGTTAGTTACCAGTCACGATAACTTAACTTTGAACCAATAAGAAAAAGGTTCATGGTTTTCCTGTCTCTGTCATGTGTTCGGCTATCATTATACCTTACTAGTCTTTGTACTAGAGAATTTGTTATGACCCATGACCCAGTATGTACATCTAGATGTATAAGTATGCCACACAAAATTAATGATAAAATGTATATTGGTAATTTTGTTCAGAAGTTCATTTGTATAAATATATGTTTATTGCAGTGTGTGCTTAAGGAGGGAACATTAAATCGCACAAAAATTACGGAGAATGGCAAGAAGTTGCGCAAGAACTGGGCACCAGCCCATGTTGTCCTTACAGAACTTTTTCTGCTTTTCTTCAAGGATGCTAAAACATTTGAGACCATGGTATGTATTGCTCAGTTATTTCCTATCTTGTACTTTGTAATAAATTACCTGCCTTTATCTTTGTACTTCATTTTACTGATCCTTTGGCTAATGTGTGATTTTGTGGTCAATGAAATAGGAGAGGTCTGTGAAACTTGTATGCTTCCTTCTCACTTTAGAATCTGTTCTTATCCTGGACCATTATCAGAGGAAGAACAGAAGGGTTTGATGAAACAGAAACTTGAAAATGTAATTGTAAATTATATAATATGCTTGTTACCCTAATAGTTGATTTGTGTGGAGTTAATTATTGCCATTTAAGTTTATTTAAAATTTAATTTAATTCAGCAGATAGAGACTCAATGCCAAAGTAGGTAGGGAAGATATTTTCAAACCAGCGATTGGGAATGAAATTTTATGCAAAATTACTAATGATAATGGAGTTACAGTAGTAAACCTCACCACATTAAAAAATCTTACTGTCAAAAGTATGATGTTCCCACATCGTAACATTCATAAATTAACTTGGACATCTCCTGATGGGAAGATACACAACCAAATTGACCTTATTTTGATAGATAGGAGATGGCATTCAAGTATGCCTGATATCTGATCGTTCAGGGCAGCAGATTGTGATACTGACCACTACTTGGTGGTGGCAGAGATTAGGGAAAGACTAGCAGTGAGTAAGCAAACAATGCAGTGTTCATATGGAGAGGTTCATTCTCAAGAAATTAAACCAGATAGAGGGTAAATAGCCATTTCATGTTGAAATCTGAAATAGGTTCCCAGCTTTGGAAAATGTAGACACAGGTGTGAGAGACAATATCAGAATTTCTGTCAAAGAGACTAGGTTATTATGAACTGAAGATGCATAAGCCATGGTTTGATGAAGGATGCTCAGAATTATGAGACAAAAGGAAACAAGCCAAATTGCAGTGGTTACAGGATCCAAGTGAAATAAATGGAGATAATATGAACAATATAAGATGTGAAACCAGCAGCCGTCTCAGGAATAAAAAAATAGAATATATGAAACACAAAACTGATGAGCTTGCAACGAACAGTAAGGACAACATTAGAGACCTGTATAGAGGAATAAATGATTTCAAGAGGGGTTACCAACCTAGAAGTAACTTATTGAAGGATGAGAATGGTGATCTGCTTGCAGATTCCCACAACATTTTGAATAGGTGGAAGAACTACTTCTCTCAGTTATTGAATGTACATAGGATCAGTGATGTTAGGCAGATAGAAATACGAGTACATCCAGCTGAGCCATTAGCACCTTATCCTAGCCCTTTTGAGGTTGAAATTGCTATTGTGTAATTGAAAAGTTATAAATTGCCAGGTAGTGATCAAATTTTTGCAGAACCGATTCAAGCAGGAGGTGAAATATTACATTCTAAGATCCATAAGGTAACTAATTCTATTTGGAATAAGGAAAAAATTGCCTGATCAGTGGAAGGAGTCTTTTTATTGTACCTGTTCTCAAGAAGGGTGATAAAACTGACAGTAGTAATTATCGGGGCATATCGCTGCTATCAACTTCATACAAAGTGTTATCCAATATTCTTCTCTCAAACTTAAGTCCATTCATATATGAAATTATTAGGGATCATCGGTGTGGGTTTCAACATAACAGATGAACTACTGATCAGATCTTTGCATTCATCAGATACTGGGAAAAGAATGGGAGTACAAGGAGACAGCACATCAGCTATTCATAGACTTCAAGAAAGCGTATGATTCAGTTTGGAGGGAAATATTGTACAATATTCTGTTAAGAGTTTGGGATACCAATGAAATTATTCAGGCTGATTAAAATATGCTTAAATGAAACGTATGGTAGAGTCCGTATTCCTCTCCAGAATTGTCTAAAACAAGGAGATACTTTATCACCACTCCTTTTCAACTTTGCTTTAGAATATGTCATTAGGAAGGTCTAAGAAACCATGTGGGACTGAAATTAATTGGGATACATCAGCTGTTGGTCTATGCTGATGATGTGAATCTACTGAGTGATAATATAGATACCATAAAGAGAAACACACAGACTTCAGTTGACTCTAGTAAGGAGGTTGGTCTAGAAGTAAGCACAGAGTATATAACTGGGCACTAAGTATATATTGCTGTTCTGTAACCAGAATGCAGGGCAAAATTATGACATAAAAACAGGTAGCAGATGTCTTGAAAATGTGGCACATTTAAAATGTTTGGAAATGTCTATAACAGGTCAAAACCTGAATCAGGAGGAAATTAAGAAGAGATTGAACTTGGGTAATGATTGCTACCATTCAATCCAGAACCTTCTGACTTCTCATGTGCTGTCTAAAAACATAAAAATTAGAATATACAAAACTATAATTTTGCCTGTGGTTCTGTATGGGTGTGAAAGTTGGTCTTTGATATTAAGGGAGGAACACAGACTGAGGGTGTTTAACAATAGGGTGTTGAAGGAAATATTTGGACCAAAGAGAGATGAAGTGACATGAGATTGGAGAAAACAGCATAATGAGGAGCTTCATAACTTGTACTCTTTTCCAAGTATAATTAGAATGATGAAGTGATGTAGCACAAATGAGGGAGAAGAGGAATGCATGTAGGATATGGGTGGAGAAATCAGAAGGAAAGAAACCACTGGGAAGACCAAGGCATAGGTGGGTGGACATTATTAAAATGGATCTTAGGGAGATAGGATGGGATAGCATGGATTTTTTTTTTTTGCGTCCTGTTGCACTGATTCACGTTCATGATGTGTCTTTGTACCAACCGTCTTACATTGCACACAGTTTCACCTTTCTCCCCACTGCATGTTTCGGCACTAATGTGCCATCTTCAGGTGTGGTTTTATTTATGTCAAACCATTGCACTGTATGCCATCATGTCTCCTTTATAAAATGATTAAAATGTGGATATGTCATGATAATAAAGTTTATATATTAAAACTTTTCAAGATTTATCATCTATATGCCGTACTTCAAATTCGCGAGTTATGTCGATCCTCTCCTATGGGAGTCCTCTTCCTATATTCTTGTATATATTGTGTGCTGTGTTGTGTCCTTCCCTTGTGATTGTGTGTGTTATACTGCAGTACAGTGCCTCTCAACCTTTGTCAGACCACGGCCTGGTAAATTCTTTTTTCTGTAAAACGAGAGCCCGGTATAATTGATGCCAAGGACCAGTACTGGCCCATGGCCCAGTGGTTGAGAAACACTGGTGTAGATGGTGTGTGGAATTAAAACACATTCTCACTAATAAGAGCTTGTTTATTGTGGTAGGCAACTGGGTATATTATTGTAGTAATTAATGCAGAGCCTACTTAAATTGCCGCAAGAAGAGTGAAGGAATAATTGGTGTCGGGGCACTGAGATAGAAGTGAATAGATGATATTGAGAAGAATATGAGAAATCTCTGGAAATTATTAATTGAAAATTGGAGGCAGGATGTCATTTAGTCAGCTTTAAGCCCATTAACCAAGCAAATTTCATAGATAGGCAGGTGGACTTTTAACCCTAATAGTACCATTATAAATTAAATTGTTGGCAAAAAAATTTGTAACAGCCGCTGTAGATGACATTGATCCTCTTAGTCAGCATACGTGCCATTTTCGCATTGCTGCATGCAAGTGCTAACTGGAGGTAGAATGGAAAAAGCGCTCAGGCAGTGATAGGAATTATAAATGTTTAATACCTCAGTAATTCAAATTCAGAATGTTCGTTGTATGTCAGAATTTATTTGGTACATTGTGTGTGTTTAGGTTCCTCAGAATGGTGTTTAATGAGTCATTTAATTATGTTTATGTAGGGAATAGAATGGGGAATGATGCTTTGCATAGTTTCTTAAATTTGATTGTTCTAGAAAGAGAATTGTAATGGGAGGGGATTTTTTCCATGGCAGTGACAGAATGGAAGTCACTTGTTTTAACTTCTGTATTTTCTTTAATTTTAACAGAAAATTTCTCATGGAGAGAGTGCTTCAGGGGCAGCACAGCCAGAGTTCTCTATAGATCTGAATGGTGCATTGCTGGAGCATGGAGAAAAGGCATCAAGTCGACGTAATGTATTTCTTGTAACAACAGTGCTTGGTCTACAGGTACTATTGCAGTGTGAAAATGCTCAACAGGAAGAAGAATGGTACAAGGCCATCCACAAAGCTATCAAAGATCTTGTGAGTAAAGGTATTATTAAAATACCAGACCTTATTAAAAGACATCCATCTTCAGGTCATCTTTATATATAACATATTGTAGATCATTACCAGCCAGAAGGAAAGAGACCAGTAGGAAGACCAAGACACAGGTGGGTGGATAATATTAAAAAGGATCTTAGATAGGATGGATTTGTCTGGCTCAAGATAGGGACTGGTGGAGGTCTCTTGTGAACATGGTAGTGAATCTTTGGGTATCATAAAATGTTGGGAAATTCTTGGCGGCTATACAACTGGCGGCTTCTCAAGAAGGACTATTGAACTCCACGTATTTAGTTAGTTAGTGTAAAAATACACTTCATTATTTTAAGCAGAGTATATCCTCAATTTAATGGACTGATTGGGAGGAGGGGGTGTCTGTTATTGCTGAATGTCCCTAAAATTGCTTCTGTATGAAACCAAAATTCAATTAAAAAACAACTAATATAATTTTGAAGTAGAAGGCAGCCTTACATGAAAAATGACAAATTTTGCTATTATGTATCATGCATTAGAAAATAATAATAAATTACTTGTCTCTCCTTTAACAAGAAAGAACTGCACATTGTGTAGTATGTTCAGAAGAGGAATCACTTTGCTTTCCTAGCGAGTGATTGACACCACTTTCTGAGAAAGTGTTAGCATGACTGATGAAGTGCACTTACATGACATATCAACCAAACTGTTATGGGAAAGTACTGGCATGTCAACTGGAGAATAATGGGGAGCTACCAAAGAATTTTGTCTGTTAAATCTGAAATAATTAAATGAAAAATTTACTGTAATTGCAGTTTGTGAATATAGAATATAATGAACACTATATGCATAACAAGAACTGATGTAGGATTTCATTTTAATTGCAGCCATCTGCATATGATGCAAGTCCAAGGAATAAAGCAGCAAAACTAAATCCCCAGCACTTGAGTTCAAGCTCACCCGAGGAAACAAAAAAGTCCTCTTACATTGGACGTTCAAGATCAGTGAAATGTGTGTAAATAGCTTTCATTTTTAATGTATAATTAGTCTGAAATATTTGTTGCCTCTACCTCAACCTCACACCTTTCTTTGTTTACACTCACTTGCTCACTCATCTATTTCATCAACCTCCCCCTCACACACGCACACACACACGCACACCCACACCCACATGCACGTGCACACCCACTCTCGCGCGTGCAATCATAAGTTGATTTTTCAAAATTTCATCTTGACACTTGTTAGTGCCAGGAAAAGAGATTTAGTCCAGTCAGTTCCATTTTATGAATACCTCTGCAAATGATTTTAATCTTCCTACTTGGTATACAGGTTAAAATTTAAGTGGTAAGTTAACCATTGTATAGGACTGTCCAAGCACGAACTCTGGAGTTCTAGTTATAGATATTTATTCAGTGCTGTGTCATAACATTTTCTTGTTAACAAAAACTATTAGACAAGTCTCAAGTTTTACTACCATTTACTTCACTTTAGTATAGTTTATTTTAGTTTATTGAGTTGAGTTTCTTTACAAGCATAGAATTATGTCCACTTAACACTAGGTTTTCATTGTACACAGGTTCGGTGCTTAACAAACATACTGTAGCGTGTTTTGTGTGTCCTGCCACGAATAAGTTCACGCCGTTCTTTGATATAGCGAGTTTATTACATTCGCTCGCCTAACACACACTTTACAAACATTTACACTTGCAGTGTTACAATCACTGCTCACAATAACTCTGCGATGCTGGACTATCTCCTCTGGCGGTTATTCCAAGACTCACTTCCAAGGTGGCTTGATCACGACTGACCTCTTAGCTGGCTATTCCGAGACTGAAGACTTCTCGTCGAAGCTGGGCTTTTATAACCTCGGCCGCTGCTAGGCAAATGAACCCTCTTTTATAACCATGGAGACTCCTGTTAGAACTACAATGGAGCAATTGTTGTTTCCTATGCAACGGTCTATTCTTGTGTTTCCATAGAAGCGTCTCTTCTAGATTCCAGACACGTTACATTGCTCCCTTCTAAAGGTTGTTCATCCCCGAACAGCCTAAAGGTTCTCCCTCGGTTTTGATTCCGCGGTGTTTTGCTAGCAACTTCTTCATTCGGCCTTGGTGTCCTTTGCGCGTCTTAGTGCGCTGTTTATTTTACTGCATCCGCCCCTCTCTTCAGTTGTGCTCGTCCTGAGCACTCCCGTGGTCCAGAATTTGTTGGTCGCCTTGTTTCACATTCATTTGTTCTCCATACATCCTCGTTGGGGAGGCCGGTACTTCTACGTTACTGGTTCCTCCCATAAGGGCAGTTTCCCTTTTTCCGTTTTGGAGGGGGTCGACCCCTCCACAGTGTCCACATTCTTATTTTCCGTAATGGGACAGGTGTGAAAATTCGCTTAGCCATTTCCAATCCCTTTGTCCTCCTGTGGGTCTTGTTAAATTCCCACTTGCTTCCAAGCCGTAGCTGGTCCCCGAAGTCTCTATTCTTCATTTCCTTGGTGCCTTCCTGGGGCACTAGTTGTTTCCCTCTGGGAGTCCATCCTTTCTGGATTCCTCTTGTAGACTGGTCTCTGGTCCAATTACTCTGCCGTCTCTGTTCGGTTGGTGGTCCTTCTCTCCGCTGGCTTCCGAAGGTTCCCTGGGGAGTTTCCTTCTTGGAGTCATTTCTCCAACGTGGTGCCACTGTCGCGCGACGGGATGTCATTTTGTGTGTGATGGCCAATTCCTTTTGGGGCCCACGATTTTCCCCTGCCGAATCCTTCAGTTTCTGGCGGTGGCGCTCCGCGGCCAGTTTCTGGTCCCTACGCCGTTTCTTCGGTTCTCCGACCGGTATTCTCGAGGCGTCTTCTACGGGGACTTCTCGATGCTCCAGTACGGACTGCATCACTTCTGGGTGGGGCTCAATCTTCTCGTGGGTAGTTCTCTTCTCTTCCCCCCAGGCTTTCCAATCGGCCATCATCTGTGCGTGTCTGGCCTCCGCGGCTCTGAATTCCTTCAGCATCTCGTCTGTTTTTTCTTGGCCAGCGCTAATTTTCTTCAGCAGAAGTTCCAACATTTGCTGCGTTTCCATTTTTTGTTGTTGTTGGACGCGTGTTAAAGTTCGAAGTCACTTCTGACACCAATGTAGCGTGTTTAGTGTGTCACGCCACAAATAAGTTCACGTCGTCTTCTGATATAGCGAGTTTATTACATTCGCTCGCCTTACCACACACTTCACAAACATTTACACTTGCAGTGTTACAATCACTGCTCACAATAACTCGGCGATGCTGGACTATCTCCTCTGGCGGTTATTCCAAGACTCACTTCCAAGGTGGCTCGATCACGACTGACCTCTTAGCTGGCTATTCCGAGACTGAAGACTTCTCGTCGAAGCTGGGCTTTTATAACCTCGGCCGCTGCTAGGCAAATGAATCCTCTGTTATAACCATGGAGACTCCTGTTAGAACTGCAATGGAGCAATTGTTGTTTCCTATGCAACGGTCTGTTCTTGTGTTTCCATAGAAGCGTCTCTTCTGGATTCCAGACACGTTACAATACAAACAAACAGTATGTACAAACTTCTTGTATTGCTGAAATCAGGTCAGTTACTATCTCTGCTGATAACCACCACTGTTCTACCGTTACTATTTCTGTTTTCAATCCATTTTCTCATTTTACATTTTAGCTTGCAGCTAAACTCAAGGGGTTACTGCCATTTAGTGTAATTCAATGTGAGCACCATTGATGATTGTACAGACAACGAAGCAAAACGAAACTTCACCCCACACCTGAAAGAGCATTTCCACAGGCACCACAGCGATATCCCCTGAAATATTTCAGTGCAAAATCCTGAAGAGACTGCACTTTCACTGTACATGATGTCTTTGATATATGCCCCCCAGAAGAAGTTCATGGACCAGGACTTCATGGGGACCAATTAATCTGCCTTCCCCTACCAGTCCATCAACTGGGACATCATTTGTGCAGAGCAGTAAGTACAGTAGTACCAAAATGGATCAATACACTGTCTTGTTGGAAAATGAGACCATCAACCCAGCTTTGCACTTGGAGCCACTGTACACACTGTTCTGGACAAACAGTTTCCTGGTGGATGGTTTGGCAAGGAAGGGCCAATTAATTGACCCCCACAGAGTCCTGACTTAACACCCATGGACTTCTTCTTCTGGTGCGGGCACATCAAAGTTGTTGTGTGCCGAAGAATTATAGCAGCTATTGCTGCGGTGCTTGTGGATGTGCTCTGTTGGGTGTGGGGAGAAGCAGAATTTCGTTTTGATGTCAGTAGGGCCATCAGTGGGGCTCACATTGAATTGCACTAAATGGTAGTAAAACTTGAGAGATCATATAATAGTTTTTGATAATAAGAAATTTTTGTATCAAAACAATGAATAAATATTTGTAACTAGAACTCTGGAGTTCTTTCTCTGCCATATGGAAGTAGAAAATCAAAAAGTATCTGTATGCTTAGGATTGGTGTATGATATCAGGACTTCTCTTAGCATCACATCTCATGTTCTTAACTGACTTTATATTATAGCATTGAATGTCAGAATAGTGGCTGGCACTCCTGTTTCATTTTTGGAGGTAACATGTTGGCTGTGCTGACTGAGCTTCAAGTGGCTTTCCAGAATTCATGTTCACACTTCTGGGATTGTTTCTTAAAATGGGGCAACAACTGATTCCTACAAAATATTTCCAGTACTTGATTCTTCTGTTCAATACTATATATAAACCATTGCAGTTTGAAAGGAGGAGGTTAGTCTTTATCATCTGGAGAAAGACGTTTAAGTGTCCCAGTACTACAAGGCTGATGGCCATGTTGTTAACTGGGTTAACAATTTATTGCCATGGATCAGGGGATTTTGAATCTTGTGCTGCTACAGATCTACCAGCTATATTTTAACTGTGGGGGGGGGGTTGTGTATTGGCGTTGCCATTGAGGAAATGCAGTGCTTGGCCAGCTGGATTGTGCAATGCACTGGTGAATAAATTGATAAATTTGACACATTGTTAATGAAGTTTGAACAGTACATGGTACAGCAGTTAACAGTTGCTTTGTTGGTCAAGAAGTTCCTCTGCTTTTAAGGAACTAAAGCCTTATTACTGTATTCACAGAATCCTGGCTTGATTCAGCTCAGTCCAGTTCACAAAACCTGTTTTTCTAAGCTCTGTTTAAGTGTCATCCTTCCATCAGTGCCTAAGTCTCAAATTTATCTACTCCCTGACATTTTCTGACCATAATACTCTACATTTTTCATGTTTCTTTAGTGCATACTCTGTGTCCTGATTATCCCATCCTTGGTTTAATCACCCAAGTATTACTGCATACACTATGCAGCCCACTTTAGTAATTTTTGTGTTTTAGTTTCTAGTGGAAAGTTGTTTTCTTATTCATATGTGTGTATCATTTGTTCTTGACTTTAGTTGCACGTTTCATAGAAATATTATGACTAGTGCATTGAATTTGTCTACCATTTCCCAGAACACGTACCTTTGATCTGCTGTGTGTGAAAATTATCCACAGCTCAAAAAGATAAGGAGAGATATCTAATCAGGCAAGCAAATCTTCAAGTGCTGTTGTTGACAGACTGTCCTACTGGAACTGTATCCTGCAGTGTCCATGTGAATAATTGTGTGTTGAAGATTAGCATTTGGCAAACACATCTAAGGAAGAAGTGATTTCTTGAACACTGGGCATTGCATATGAAGAAAATATGGATATTTGGTTCATACAATGTCAGTTCTCCTGGTATGTTGTTTTTAGTTCAACATTAGGGTAGGTGAACATTGATATGTTATGTTTATGGTTATAAGGCTCATAGGTGAATAGATAAATCTAATATTGTGAATGTTAGCATGAATGACATTATATATGTGGTCAGGAATTTGTTGGTGGTAGATGTACTTAAGTGAAATAACAGCTATACAATGCTGTAATGAGATAAGATGTACTCACAGTTCATTGTTACATACTGTACTATCCTGACAGCTTAACCCCTGTTTATGTTTATAGGTTGTATTGTTTTATTCACACATGCAGGCACATAGCATAATGCTGTTATCACCATCTGCTGGTGAGATTTAGAATGTGTGGAACTTTACATTCATATGTGGTGTTTAAACACAAGATTTTACTTCCATATTTTCCTTTTTATAATAAAATGTATTATAATTTGCTTTTACTCATTATTTTTTTTTTACATGAAATATTAACTACAGAACTGAGAGGTTAGTTTTGTGTGTTAGCAGTAAAAGTAACTTCAAAAGATGGGAGCCAAGAAGACTTAACTGCAAGTTCTGAGGAGAGTCAAACCAAGATCCGCAATCGCCTCAAGAAGTTCTTCCATCGTAGGCCAACCAAAGAGATTCTGGTCAAGAAAGGCATCTATAAAGGTAATTTTGTTGCAGGCTGATGTTTTGTTTCTTTGTTAAACATATTTTTAAATATTATATTTTCCTATAAAAATTTACTTATATTTTCTGTAGGCTTCAGTATGCTGTTGTTTGTGATTTGAGCAACATGCAAGTAATATTCGATGTCCATTAATGTTCAGTTCTGCATGTCTGGACTGCTAGTTTCAATGCGTGCAGTAATTATTTTGTGTAGATAGTGACATGACTTTCAATGAAATAAACAGTGTTCTTGATGTAAGGTAGTGGTTAAATTGTCCCTGTGTTTAGTGTTCAAGAAAGAATCTTACGGTGGTTAGATTAGGACTTCTAGGTGATCAAATAACTGAACCCAACTTGCAATTGAGTGGCCAGAAACTCTGTCATATAAGGATTCTAGAACATTCACACTGAATTGCAGGAAAAATGCCATCATGTTGAAAACTAACTGTTTCATGTGCAGTGTCACCATTTGTAGAAGTACATACAAGGTGCATCAAGTACTTTCTCATGAAATGATGGCGTTGTAGTAAAGTGAAGGAAGGCATGATCACAGATTTCAGGTGCATCACAATAAGATGAATGGAATGGAAAGTTCAAAGGTTTTGTACATTTTAAAAGATTTGCTGTTTAAGCCAATTATTTAATGAAATATAACCCTCCAAAATATGGGTAGATCTTCTCTTTTCTTGAAATATGCTTGTAACAATTGTCCTTGTGAGTTGGCATCCAAGGCAGCTTAGGCTGTCTATGTGCACAGAGTGTACATGGGGAGGAATCATATTTGTCTGTCCATATGTCCCTCCACTCGCGTGTTTAATCTTTGAAGACTATGTCACTGTTCTACACTAAGCTGTCATGCAAATGATATTGAACAATTTCAGGATATTAGAACAGGTGCTTTATAATAGTGTCATGTATAGGGGTAACGCGTGACGAAATGACGGGTTCTAGTTCGGATGATTTGATTTATTAACAGCTTGGTTACACACTCTTTAAGTTACACTTAGATACAGTGCTATCGCAGATTTACACACTTTCCAGTTCACCATTGCACATGCACTAGGATTCTCTGTCTTCCACTAGTCATCTCCTAGCAACGGATCTCCACACAGAGACTGTCACATCACATCACTCCAGATGTTATGCATAAGATCTTCCAATTACCTTTCCAGTATCACTGCACTGTCGAAGTCTTCTAAATCACTCTTGACATCCTCACTGGGACACCTTCTGTATTCCTGGTTCCACTTTGCTTGCTTCCACCACTCCAGTTCCACTCAGTGGATCCGTCTCGACATGTAGCCTCAAATTGGACAGTGAGGAAAACGCAGCTTGTCCTCATTGTTGCATGGAAGGGGTGTTTACCAGCCGTTGTGTAGCAACGAGCTCGGTGGGGGTATGTGACGTCGCTTGCGGAAATGCAGAGGTCATGTGACACCTACTTACTGTTGCGCAATCCAAACATTCACAGAACTGTCGCCTAGCAATGTGCTGATACAATCTTCAAGTCTCCCATTGTGCACGTGCCCCGAGGCCTCTGTGGCTCAACAGTTCCTGCATAGAGCAAATATGCCACAATAGGATCCAGTCAGACTTAGTACTTGTCATAAACATCGCTTGTCATATGTTCTTAGCAAAAAATATATACCTTGCTAAGACCTATAACTGTAATTGGAACTCTGTAACATGATGTGTATTTAAGGGAATAAAAATAAAAAGGAACCCTCTGGTAATGTAATATCTGCAGTTAATTAGCTCAGGCATCTGCGGTAAGCAAGCATTTTTATGAGTGAAGACTGAATTCCATGGTCAAACTGTTTTGGACATCTGACTGAAATATTTCATGGTTGTCCTCAGTCCTTCAGACAGATGCTGAAATTGTACCTTAAAACAAGACACAGCTACTCTCTTCCATCTCCTTCCCATTTTGTGCTTCATTGTCTTCCCACCTTTAGCTAGTAATAAGGAACAGACCACATCAGTGAGGGTGGAAAATTGCAAAGAACGCATCTGGAAACTTTGTCATCTCCTAACTGGGATAATTTGAATTTTTTCAGATGAACCTGTTTTTGGCTGTCATCTGGCAGATGTGTGCAGGGGAGAGTCTCCTAGAGTGCCTGCCTTTGTGCAGCACTGTGTTGCTGCTATTGAATGCAAGGAGGAGAATATGAAGACTGATGGGCTGTATCGTGCATCAGGGAACCTGTCCCAGGTTCAGAAGATCAGGCTACAGGTACTGGTTTAGTTGCTTGCATACCATAACAGGAGAACCCAGATTTTAATCTGAGCCCAGAAACCAGTTTTCCTGAATGAGTTTTCTTTTTCTCTAATGATTTCCCTGATTCTCTAAAGCTGTATGTGGTGAAGATATCTTAATTTAGGCCAGGATTGTCTCCTTTTAAATCCTTTCCATCGCATCTTTGGTTATTCCATCTCATTTGACACTGTACGCCGTACACAGCTGAAACATCTTATTAAATAACGAATCACCAAGCAGTAAGAATTCCCATATAAGGATAACTAAGTCAGACAAATTGTACAGTGAATCAAAGAAAATGGGCATGGGGACAGAATATGTATAACAACAAGAAATTTTTTTACTTCGGGGTACAAGAAAAGAGGATCTTCTTTGGGTAGGAGTCACAGGCATGCTGCTGGCTGGGACAGAGAAGTGCTCCCTTCTTAATCCAGGAGTGACTTGGAGTTAGTTCTAGACCTATTTCTTACAGAGTTTACATCAGTGAGTGTCATAAATGGTTTCCAAAGCATTCTGACTGACTGTCAGTAAGGGAACAGACTGAAGGTGTTGAATGTACATAGTGATGATGTGAAAGAAAGTAGTGAGTTGTAGGATTTGAGGTTCTCACAGTGATGGTTACGAAGAGTTCATTCCTCTGGGATATAGTGCCATGTAGTGTGTTGAAAGTCATCTGATGTTTCGGAGGAATATGTCACCTTCGTCTTCATGGTCAGAGAATAAGCCAAGCAAGAAACCAGTGTGAAGCAGGTAGGAAACAGGTCTGTACTCTGTTTGCTTTTGTTTTACAGGTAGACCAGAATAACTTGGAAGTCTTAGAGCAGGAAGAAGACGTGCATGTACTCACAGGTGCACTTAAGCTCTTTTTCCGCGAATTGAAGAAACCTCTCATTCCTTTTGATCATTTCAGTAAAGCACTGAAAGCAAGTAGTAAGTACCTTTCCATGTTACATGTTAACATCACTATTTTCAGTGTTTCATACTTTCTCTTGATTTATTCCCTGGGGTGGGAGGGGGAGAGAATTTTTCTGTTTTGCCATAACTTCTAGATGTTCTGTACTGTAGTACCCATTCACCCTCTTAACTAATGGATGCCAGATTCTTCTTCTGTGTAGGAAAAGTAGCCAGAGCTTGAAGCTGATCATCCATCTCCATCTCTGAAATCTAAAAATGCAATGATCTATTTGCATACCTTTCATATGCTTTCTTTACTTGTTTGCTAGATGCAGGGGCAGCTTCACTTTTTTATATTTACATTTTCATAATATCTTCATGTATTATTTGTAAAAAGTGCATAAATACATTTTGGATAGGTCATGTCTGTCTGTGTTATCAAACTACTGGTCAGATTCATTGAAATTTGATATTTGAGGTTTAGAGTAAACATTACCAGGTAAATTTGATTTTCGTCATTAACAAATATAGCTAACTCCTACTTCATATGAAGCTCAAATCTGTTATTGTTCATAAAAATTGTTCTCTATTACAGAAATTGAGGCATGACATAAAATATGTGGGTCACATTCAGGTCTATACTTTTATTTGGAATATTTTTATTCTGGGTAACTTCTAACAAAACGCAAAGAAGAGTAGTTCATATCTCTGTGTAATTCTGCATTTATATTCTTATGTTTATTTAGGTTCAGTTCTGTTAACCAATACTGGATTTTGAGAAATTTTTCACTTTGGAAGACTTTGAATTCAGTGTGAAACTCTGTCTCCATTTATATTTTGCAGCAAACCCCAACAAGAAGGAGAAACTGCAGCAGTTCAAGGAGATTGTTAAAGCACTTCCCCTTCCAAATCGAGATACTCTTGAGTTCTTGCTTAGACATTTGCTCAGGTCAGTTACTTTAATGTATATTTAAACATTATGTAATATTTTGAATTTGTGAAATTTGTTGTCACATGGTACGTACAGTATGTGCCTACAGAGTAAAAGAAAATTAGTGAAAATCTGTCCTTTACTGTAATTAAAATCAGAGGTTGCAGATGGTAAACAGTTTGTTGCATGGAAGGACAGAGCTATAAGATTATGATATTTGAAGTTTCCTTCCCTTGAACTTGTGGTGCATTGTAAACCAACCACACTGAAGTAAATCTTTTTGTGGATATACTTATGTATATTTTACACAATTTACTTGAGTTCCATTCAGATCTGTGGATACCGTTCATGCCATCCAGTATATTTCAGTTTATAATATTACAAGTCATGATGTTCATTATGTTCTTTTGCAGAGTGACCGAGTATAAAGAATTCAATCGCATGCACATTCCAAACCTCGCAATTGTCTTTGGTCCAACACTTATGTGGCCAGAGGCAGAGTCCAGTAATATGGCCCTGGACCTAATGCAACAAAACCTTGTAATTGAGTGCTTCCTGCAGGAATTTTACAGCATCTTCCAGTGATGTATGTTCCACTTTGAAGTGCTTCTGGCAGTACTGACCATTGTTGAACTTCTAGTGAATTGTAACTTGCTGTTAGACAGTATTTGTCACTGCAGTCTAGTAAAGTGAGCACTGAAGTCTTAGCTTTACATTTGCAGTGAATTATCAGGATATTATTTGTGATTCTCAGCCTTACTTCTAAGATATGAAGACTGTAAAAGTACCAGTCAGAGACTGTGCTTAGAGATTTGATGGGTTTGTAGAGGTAGTTATGCAAAATACAGTGGAAGCCCCATTTAATGTTTCTTGATTTGAGGTTTTTCTTCATTAAATGTTCAATTTCTGTAGTCCTTTCATTACCTGAATTTTACATTCCCCTCATTTAAGATCTTTCTCGTTTGACTGCATTAATGCTATATTGTATGAGTACAAATGGGATGCATCAATTGAACGTTGTTAGTGTGCAAAAATGTATTAAAGAAAAATTAATGTAAAGCCAGGTTTAGAAATATGACAACCTGATATGATACATAATTATTAAATGGTGCAGATGCATAAAGATACAGTATGCAAGAATGTATTTGTTATAATGAATAATGAATTTGGAAAGTAGAATTTTAAGTGAAGCAGTCATACAGTGTAATGAGTAGAGGGCCAGAAAATTTGAGATAAAATATACAAAATATAATTAGTGCCAACAGTGGTATACAAAAAGCAGTATATTACAGATGATCAGTGACAGTCAGGGTGAGAGATTGTCAGAGATGGAAAAACAGTGTAATGTCTTTTCATTGTAATGAAAATATATTACACATACTAGAAGAAGGATATTATTTTTGCAGTGTATTAATATGGAATTTTGTTGTTTAATATGTGTAAAAATGAGGAATTTGTGTACTCAAAGTGGGGGGAAAAATATTGTGCCTTTAATATACAAAATAATATAGTTTAACAGATACCTGCGGGTTTTGTGCATAATGACCCCATTTGGGCAAATTTATATGGCTCTCCGGTTCATCTGTTAGCAAGGATAAAGTCACAGGGTTGGTATACAAGATACAAAATGAAAATTTCCTGATCAGTATATTATCCATTAGTCTTTAAAACAATAATGGGCAGTTATTTTTTGTTTGGGATTGGATGAGTCTGTTTCACAATCTCCATGGATTGGAGAGTCTTAGAAACAATTTTGTAGTTCAGTAATTGGCTATTAATTACTTCCAGTGACTAAACACAATTTAGACTACTATATATACAAAAATACATAACAAATTGTATTATTAACAGTTAATATGCACACGATAACCGAAGTCCTGATGTATGTTCTCAGGATCCTAAATACATACATACATACATACATACAGTTAAGTCTGGAGTTGGTTGCACTCAACTCTCTCGACTCTGTATGTGCAACAGGGACCTCAGAATGGGAATTTGTCACAATTCTACATTTGTATCTGTTTTATTTATATTTTACAATTACACACAGTAACAGTGGAGAAAGTGTAGATAATTAGAAATGATGGATAAGCAAGATACCGTGTTTATTTGGAATTTTTTATTTTGGAATTTGAAAAAATGATATATCTGACTGTTTTGTAGCATTCTGTCTTCTTTGGTTCAAGGTTATTGAAATGTGCTTTACCATTGATGGAATGCTGCAGTGTATGGCACAGTCTGAAGGTCAGTGGTTTAATGGTTGTACACACAATGAAAAGTAATGAGATAATTTTTGTTGTGAATCATTCATTGATTCTAGAAGAAGGAACTGTAAATGCCAAATTTTATCTAGAAGTGATGGAACAATTGTTGCAATGAATTTGACTGGTCAGTCCAAATTTTCATGAAAAACAAAAACTGTGTTTTGTTGCTTGACTGTGCACCAGCATAAACTGCATTAATTGTTCAGAAATTTCTTTCACAGAGAGGAGTTGCTGAAATTAACATCTGCATGCGCAAGCCCACACACACATTCACAAACATCAAATTTGGTTCTGGCTGACTTTTTTCTCCTCCTCAAGTGAAGATGAAAGTGAAATGATCTTGTACCATCAGAAGCGCTCAAAAGAATGTGACCAACTATCTCTAGGAGATATCTTTGGAGAAATTTAAGGATGCTTTCAACAATTAAGAGATTGGTGTAATAAGTGGATAGCGTCCCATGGGAACTATTTTGAATGATTATCATAATAAATTTTTTCCTGGACTCCTGCTTTTCCCTTTTAGAAGTTTTGTCTCATTACTTTTCAGATGAACTGTATACATTACAGTAGAATACCATGGTACAAATTATGGGTGATTATGTTGAAAAGAGAGGTTCTACAGTGTCACGGATATTGGAAGGTGTACTTCACAGCTATATCGCAGTGTTTAAATTAATGTCTGTGAAGCCTGTGAAAGAAACTAATGATTGATTTGTGGCATGAGAACTTTGCATTACCAAAGTAAACATCTAGGACTGGAGGAAATCAAATGAAAAAATTTACAGTGTGCCAGTTACATACTTGTATGAAGGGCATTTTAAGGGCTGAAATAGTGATGATGAAATGCAACAAGGTGCAAAGACATACAGTCTGCTGCAAATTGTTTTAATTTGTCACTGTTACATGTTACTGAAAAGAAGTAAATTTAGAAAATCATTATGGGAAGCTATAAGCAGTAATTGGGCAGTTATAAAGGTTCCATGGTTAATCTGCCAGCCAATAATTGAGTGTACTCTACAGTAGTTTTGCTATGCCAAGTGCAAAGAATTAAAAATTATAGAATATCACAGCAGCCCAAAGGCTGTATTTGCCTCTCTGTTTTGTGAAGATAAATTGCAATTTCCTTGTGTTATAGCTTTCCTGCACACCTCTCATTTTGAATGGGGATTTCACTGTATAAGAAAGTATTTACCAAAATCACTGTGACAGGAGCTCCAGTAAATGATCTGAACAAGATTTTTGAAATATTGGGATTCCAAGACAGTAGAAGGGTAAGGGTATATATATATATGTCTGTATACATCATACCTGATTGTGCATTAGAAATCTGTTGATAAGTGACAGTATTTGAAACATATGTTAAAGGTTAAATCATTATTTCTGTTGTACCTTTTAAGATTTATAAAACTAAATATCCAGTATTATATAGTCTGTCAGTAGAGAAAATATAATTGAGTACAATGACGGTATGCTATGTTACTTTAATTTATTGTTATGTGATTCATTTTATTGCTGTTAAGAACTGGGGAGTTTGGTGCAAGAAAGATGTATCTCTATTTTTGTGAGCTTATGTGAACAAAAATGAAGACCAGTGACGTGAGGAAGTGTGGAATTCATACAGAAGCCTGCTGGAAAAGGCCACTAAGAAGACTGAAAAGGAGATGGAAGGATAACATTATAGTGGATCTTAATGAAACAGGCTATGAGGATGGGAGGTGGATGAAACTGGCTCAGGATCACGTCCAGTGGCAAGCTTTGGTATTAGTTATATTAAACCTTCAGGTTCTGCTGCCAGAGAAATGTGAAGAAAGCAAGTAATTCAGTAATCTGTCTTGAATTTTGTAATTTGTTTCTTTACAAATAAGTGGCTTCACATTATCTTCTGCTTAAATGTTGGATTTTTATGATATCAACAGTAGTAATATTCATCAGTCATTTGTTTCCACCAGGACTGGATTTCCTTGACAAAGTCTTCCTTATCATTCAGAATCTTTCCATACGTACTTCTCATGCATGTGCTCCACCCCATAGAGAGTAGGAGATCTCAGTTTCATAAGATTTCTTTGCTTGTCTTCTCAGTGGTCATTTGTTTGATATCTACATTTCTTATGCTCTCAAAGGAAACACATTGCCCTTATCAGTACCCCTTCACACCTTTCATTTGATCAAATTTGCTTGTAGTGTTTCTACTTTCAGATCTTACCTCATTCCGAAGTATTTGGTTTGGCCCCTTGTTCTTTTAATGCCATATAAAACATCTTGTTCATTCCATATTCACATTTCTGGTCAGTGTATCAAAACACTAGATAAGTGTTTGTCTTGTATAGCATACCTTTAATTTCTTTTTTTTTTTGTTAGTCCATTTCAGAATATCTTCTACAGTCTAGAAAAATATCCTGGCTTAGTGGGCTGACCATTATTCTTATATTAAATGATAAAAGAAACCCCTTATGCATTTTTTGAAGCTGTACCCCATTTGTATAGAAGTCCTTCAGTTTATATGTATTGTATGTGTTCCTCTGTGGAATTTTAAATTATTTAATTATGAAATATTCTGACTTCTTTAAGGTTAATTGTGACTTTCTGTAACATATTGATATTAGACTGATATCAAGTATGAAAAGCTAGCCTTATAAGACAGCATATTGTCTCTACATAGGAATATATTTTGTCAAATTAATCAATTTTCATGTAATTTTGTTTGAAGCTTGTGATATTGAAAATGGACCCCATCCTCTTCTGCTTTCTTCTCCAGATTACTAGTAATCATCCTGTGGACACTGTATAACATGTGCAGTTGATAGCATATTGTTACATAAACCAAGAAACAAAGAGAAACAAAACAAAAGTCAGCCAGCAGCATATCAGGCCAATTCATAATTAACTTATTTTTCACACAGGGTAAGAGCTCATTAATATAAACAGGTGCAGATTAATTGTTGATTCAGTTTTCTCATAGTATTTTGTATAGAGGTCTGCATGAACCTAAATGCTGCTTTGAGGGCCTTAGCTGGGTAACCCATATTTAGCCTCAGGATTGGTCACTGTAGCGATAGTGAAGTGAGCCATTATTCATAAAATTTCAAAACTTCTTTGGGTCAGAAAATATTTTGATACAAATGAAGAACATGATTTCTTTTGTTAAAGAAGATATACCACCATATGTTGGTGCTGGAAGGTGGTCTGGTGATGTTACTGTTTGATATTAAGGAATTTGATGTCTTCCAGTAAGGGATTGGTCTAGTATCATGTGAATTTACTGTAATATTCCAGTAACTTGAAAATAATCTGTCAGTTGTTAGTGAAAATTGTTAATCAAAGATCATTAATAAGTTTATGCATAAGAAGATTGGGTGTGTTCATGATTAGTTCTACAGTCTTCTGTGCAACAATTTTATTAAAACTTAATAAAAGCTAGTCACACTAAAAGTATTCACATGTTTCAGCCAAAATGGTCATCATTAGGTGTTAAAAGTTGTCATTCAGAAAACTGATGTGTATTTGTTGATATATGGTTCACCTAGTGCAGGAGAACATAACACAGCAAGGAGGAATACACACATGTGCGCTAGGGGAACCATATTACTTACTTACTCATGGAGCTGAGCCCTTCTGGAGGAGCTGCCAATTCTGCAGCTACTCAAGAATTTCCCAGCATTTTATGGAACCCAAAGGTTTATTACTGTGTTCACAAGAGCCCTCCACTGGTCCCTATCCTGAGCCGGATCTCTCCAATCCATACCATCCCATCCTATCTCTCTGCGATTCATTTTAATATTGTCCACCCACTTATGCCTTGGTCTTCCCTGTGGTCTCTTTCCTTCTGGCTTTCCCACCAATATCCTCTATGCATTCGTCGTCTCTCCCATTCGTACTACATGACCTGCCCACTTCATCCTCCTTGACTTGATCATTCTAATTATACTTGGAGAAGAGTACAAGTTATGAAGCTCCTCATTATGCAGTTTTCTCCAACCTCCTGTCACTTCATCTCTCTTCAGTCAAAATATTCT